CATTTGGATTTGCTCCTTCTCCTGAACATCATTACCAGTCTGGTCTTGTTAAGTAAGCCTGCAGTAAGATGCAGTGTGTTTAGTGAAGTGTGGATTAATTTACTCCAGTGTAAATTGTGACTTAGGAAAGATTTGCATTACAACTACAATGCATTTGACCTCATACTCAGCTCATATCAAAGTCTTTTTAAAAGTAAACAACACTTTTTAGACCCTCTCATCATTTTACTTTAAGCTCTGCTGGACCAGCGATTCTTCAGTCAGTCATTCATATCACAACAAACTAAGTGCTACATATCGTGTGCAGCGAGCAAAGATATTTGTGACTTTAGCCCTCAAAACAAACAGACCTAAAAATGTGAGCCTTCATGTAATATCAAAAAAGATATCAATATCCCCACTTCAGCAAATCACATTCAATCAGTGGACTGATTGATTGTAAGAAGTAGGTTTGTGTGTGTGTGTGTCTGACCGGCACTTCCGCTTTTGTGACTGTAAAGTAACAATGAGGGAAAGCCCTGTGTTGCTGCAAAGCGAAGGCAGGGAGTGTTTTCCTCTCTCTAGTTACGCCTTTTTTAGCCAATAAAAAGGATACATTTTAACCTCCTTTCCTTTTTTTTCACTAACTAAATATGTTTCTAAAAGTGTGTAATTAGACCCTCTTGTCATTTCTTGGATGTGTAACCACTGTCCGGGGAGCTGAACTGGAAACTATTGGATGCTTGACATTTTACTTTCCAAACCTATGACTGAAAAGAATACCGTGTCACCGAGTTACAGTCCCTAAAGCAGCCCGTCTCCAGGCCTAATTGGGTTGGATGGCTCAGCCAGAAATCGAGGTGGCATTTTGCCGGAGAATTCCCTCAGCTCCCCAATGATGAGCCCAGTGTGCCTTCCTTTATCAACGTCTGCCTGCTTTTGCTGAGTAGTTTGTTTTTGCCCTTCGCACAATTTATCACCTGTCACATCTAATGGGACCCAGTATAGAGTACAGAGAGCCCTGGTGGATCCCTTGGGTTCATCTTTGTTTCCATTTCCACCACTGCCATAGATAACTCCTTCAATAGCTGGAGCCCTCCACCTCCACAGTGCTGGAGGGTTTCTGTGTGCTGGCATGGAAACAAATAAAGGCCTTTGCAATAAACAGGATAGAAGTTCCATTAAAGCCTTTGTGGCGAGATTGAATTTGGATGATAACAACGGACCTGTTTGACTCAAAACTGGGAAGTTTTTTTGGCAAAGTCTTAAAGAGTCTGAGTGGATGTATTTGTTCCCCAAAGTTACAAAGTAATTTAGATACACAGAGCAGGTACAAATATGCCCAAAAGGTCATGGAAGGATGAGTGAAAATCAGTAAGTCTCACAAAAATGTTTTCTCTGCCCCCTTCAAATGAAGTGGTGTCATCATCATCATCATCATCTTGTTTCTGCCCTATCATATCTGTCCTCTAAGCGGAAAGTTTGGCTATTACTGCTTTTGAAGGATATATTTTGAAATATTTGTCCACAGCCACACACTGTATAATAGATCAAACTCGTTCCACAGGCTCAATTAATTTGAGATGGAAAACTTAGATTTAATTTGAGTGTTTTGACTAAAACAGCTTTTAGTTTCAGT